CCCCAAAAAATGTAACTCGTTACCGTTACAGTTACCAAAAAAAGAAAGTAACGCAGTTACCAGTAAAGTTACCAAAAAAGTAACTTGTAACTGTAACTTCGTTACAAGTAACGAGTTACTTCCAATCCCTGGTTATATTACACTAATTGATTTTTTGCTGCAGTCTGGTAGTGAAGAATGCAAAACGTTCAGATGGAGGGCAATACAGACTCCAGCTACGCAACTCATCTGGCTTTGATACAGCAACCGTTAACGTTAAGGTCCTTGATCGTCCTAGTCCACCCGAAAATCTTCGCGCGGATGAATTCGGTGGCGATGCTCTTACTCTCTTCTGGAATCCGCCCAAAGACAATGGCGGTGCTGACATTACTAATTACGTGATTGAAAAGAAAGACCCGAAGGCCGCCACATGGTCCAAGGTGAAAAATATGATATTATGATCGTTATTATAAAATTTGAACAATAGAAAGAATTAATTTAAAAAATTGTCACAAAAAAATTAATTTGAAAATAATTTTATCTGAGGTATTACAATAGAATGGACATTCTAGTTTTTCAAAGATTCTAAAGAAAAAAACTTTCAGGTAAGCAGCTATATTACGACGCCGTTTGTGCGAGTCAGAAATCTGACGGTCGGTCAAATCTACGAGTTCCGGGTGATGGCGGAAAACCAGTATGGTACGTCGGATCCAGTGACAACAATCGATCCCATCAAAGCACGACATCCGTTCGATCCTCCGGGTGCACCTGGTACACCTCGCGGTGTGGAGACCACTGAGGATAGCATCACCATTACTTGGACTAAACCTCGTCACGACGGTGGCTCACCGATTCTCGGATATGTCATCGAAAAGCGTCTTCTGAACGAAGATAAGTGGGTCAAGGCCACTCCAGCTCTGGTACATGACACCACTTACAAGTGAGTAATCTATGCTACTACCATACATTTTTGAAAAACATCTATGATCTTAACAAACAGTTTGAACGATTCTCTTTATTGATCTCTAGGGTTACTGGATTGATTGAGAATCATGATTACGAGTTTCGGGTAGCTGCGGAAAATGCCGCTGGTCGCGGACCATGGAGCTCCAACTCCGACGTTATTCGTGCCAGCGCTGCACCATGTAAATATATCTAATTACTTAAAAATATTTTATTCTATAAATAAAAATAATAATATTTTCCATATTTTAATTAGAAAATCTCTTTGTAATTAAAATATGTAAAATTATTATATATATTTAATTTAGTTTTTTATTGTCATTAATCGTGATTTTTTGTAAGTTGATTCAAATGTTCAATATATTAATCTTTTTGTTACAGTCCCTCCAAAGATCACGAGCGATCTCAGCATCCGCGATATGACTGTGATTGCCGGAGAACCATTTACCATTACGGTGCCGTATACAGCCAATCCTAAACCAAGACCGAATTGGTCTATTAACGGCGAAGAGGTTCTCACTGGAGAGAGGATCAAGTTCGAAACAACCGACGTAGCCTCACAGTTCATTAATAAGAAAGCAAAGAGATCGGACACCGGCACGTATACGATATATCTCACGAACACTGTCGGCACGGACTCCGCCTCATGCAAGGTCCTTGTTGTCGGTAAATATCCTGTTATATGCATCAATATTTAATTCTCAACTTATCATTTTCTAAATTACATCTTGGATTTAAATTTCAGAAATTTTTAATTTCCAGACGTATTTAGAAAGTAATAAAATAATTTTGAAAAATTTTTTTTAATTGAGTATTTTAATTTTACAAGCATGTGTAGACTATACTATGAGATTATTTTCTTCTTAGACAAGCCATCGCCACCTTTGGCGCCTTTGGATATCTCCGATATCACTCCAGAAACCTGCACATTAACGTGGAAACCGCCCTTCGATGATGGTGGTTCACCAATTACGAATTACATTGTTGAGAAACTGGATCCGGCTGGCGTAAGTTTTTGTTTAAGAAATTTTAAATAATAATCATAAAAAAAATAATATTATTTTTTGTCCTTATAACATAAAATGTGATATCAGATATATATATATCGATATCTTATTCTTCCAGTTCTGGGTGAAGCTCAGCAGCTTCGTGAGGAGCACACATTACGATGTGATCGGTTTGGAACCGAATCGCACGTACAACTTCCGCGTAAGAGCAGAGAATCAGTACGGCATATCCGATCCATTGCAAGCTGACGAACCTATAACAGCTAAATTCCCATTCACGGTGCCAGATCCACCCGGACAGCCACGAATCATCGACTGGGATACCTCGAATGCCACGGTGGTTTGGACAAGACCATTGTCTGACGGTGGTTCCCGTATTCAGGTGTGTAAAAAAGGAAACGTGTACTTATAAAATGTGAATATTATTAATAAAATATTCGAAATTTTGCATTGTTTAAAGCTAGTCGATATTAAATAAATTCTTTGAATTAAAAAATTTCTTTATTACTGTCGAAGTTGAAACTTTTGTGATATTGATGTAACAATACTAATTTATTCTACATTATATTTTAATGTAATATTATATTAATATAATATAATATATCAATTACAGGGCTATAAGATCGAGTTTCGTGACCCCGCTGAGGATGTGCAATGGCGCGTGGCAAATGACTACCTCTTCAAGGATACCACATACGTGTGTTATGGTCTGATGAGCGGTCATGAGTATGAGTTCAGGATTCGTGCGAAGAACGCAGCCGGTTTCAGCAAGCCAAGCCCACCGTCCGCGCCGTTCAGACTCAAGAGCAAGTTCAACGTACCATCGCCACCTGGTACGCCACAAGTCATAAAGGTCGGCAAGAATTACGTTGATTTACGATGGGAACCGCCTGTATCCGATGGTGGCAGTAGGATCACCGGCTATGTAATCGAGAAGCGCGAGGTGGGCAGTGCGATGTGGTCCAAATGTAACGAGTATAATGTCGTTGATACCGAGTACACGGTCATGCACTTAATCGAGCGAGGTGACTACGAGTTCAGGATCTTCGCGGTGAACGCGGCCGGCAGATCCGAGCCAAGCTCATGTACTACCCCAGTGAAAATCTGCGAGGTCGAGGGTGGCGAAAAACCGGAGTTTATCAGAAACCTGCCTATCAGTCAAATTATACCACTTGGCAAGACTCTTGTTCTCGAATGCGAGGCTACGGGTAAACCACTGCCAACGGCCAGGTTAGTAAAAAAATTAATTTAATATTTGCTAGTTTTTTTTATTATTAAATAAGATTTATTATTCCAATTATAATGAAACAAAATAAGTACTAATATAATTAAAAAATGTATCTTTTTTTACCATGTTCGTATGTGTATTATTATATGCTGTTAATAACTTTGATCTAATATTATTATAATTTTAACTTGTAACATGTTCAGGTGGCTGAAGAATGGTCGTGAGATCACTTTAGGTGGTCGCTTCCGCGCCGAAGCAATAAACGGCATTTATAGGTTGGTGATATCCGAAGTGTGGGATGCAGACGACGGCGATTATAGTTGCCAAATTTCAAATCCACTCGGCATCGCCACGACTACGTGTAGGTTAAAGATCGGCACGCCGCCACGTATCGAGCGCATGCCGAACGATCTCTATCTACCGGAAGGCGACAATACGAAGATCAAGATTTACTACAGCGGCGATCAACCGATGGAAGTGACTCTGAAAAAAGATGGTCGCCAAATCGTGGAAACAACACATATTAAATACACTGTGTTCGACGAGTACCTTATTATCTTTATCAAAGATATCCAAAAGGACGATGCAGGCATTTATGATTTGTCCATCTCGAATGATAGTGGTAGCGTCAGCGCGTCCTTTAACGTATACATTACCGGACTGCCTGGTCCGCCAACTGGACCGCTTGATGTTTCTGATATTGATAAGCATACATGCACCTTGTCCTGGCATCCACCCAAATACGATGGTGGTCTTCGGGTCACCCACTACGTTGTGGAGCGTCGCGATGTCAGTCACACGCACTGGATCATTGTGTCATCCTTCTGTAAAGACTGTACTTTCGTCGTTCAGGGTCTTACCGAAGGTCAAGAATACCTCTTCCGAGTGATGGCTGCCAACGACAACGGCATGGGTCCGCCATTGGAAGGCACCAACCCGATCAAGGCTAAGGCACCATTCGATCCACCAGGACCACCTGGCACGCCCAAAGTCATTGAAGTGGGTGGAGACTTTGTTAATCTTTCATGGGAGAAACCAGAAACTGATGGAGGTGCCAAGATCCAGGGTTACTGGATTGATAAGAGAGAAGTTGGCAGTCAGGCATGGCAGCGTGTAAACGTCAGTATTTGCTTACCAACGCAAATCAATATCAGCAATCTGATCGAAGGAAGGCAGTACGAGTTCCGGGTATTTGCTCAAAATGTTGCAGGACTTAGTCCCGAATCGAAAGCTTCGACCTCTGTAAAGATTGTTGATCCACAAGCGGCGAAGCCTCCGGAAATCATTCAACCTCTCCAGAAGGTTTGTATTTCTTCAATTTGCATTTTAATAATAGAAGTAATTATTATATAAGTAACTAAGAGCTTTTCAAAATAATACAGGAATGCGATTTGACCCAAAATATGTAATTATCTTTTTTCTCATTTTCTTTTCATCAGGTGAATTGCGTCCAGAATCACAATGCCCATTTCCAATGCAAGATTATCGGTACACCGAAGCCAAACATCACATGGTTCAAGGGCGCCCGCGAGATTGTGAGCGGTAGTCGTTACAACATCTACTCCGAGGGCGATACCCACAATCTCATCATCCATGACGTATTCGGCGAGGACGCCGATGAGTATTTCTGTCGAGCAGCAAATAAATGCGGCGTGAAATCTACCAAGGGAGAACTCTTCATCAAGACACCACCGAAGCTGAACGTACCGCCACGTTTCCGTGACACTGCCTTCTTCGACAAAGGCGTGAACGTCGTCATCAAGATACCTTTCACCGGTTATCCGAAACCAAAAATCACGTGGGTACGCGAAGGCGAGGTGATCGAGTCTGGTGGACATTACGCTGTCGAAGTAAAGGAGCGACACGCTGTGTTGACGATACGTGATGGCAGTCGCATGGACTCCGGTCCGTATCGCATCTCCGCCGAGAACGACCTCGGCCAGGACACAGCCATCATCAAGATTCAGATCAGCGATCGTCCAGATCCGCCCAGATTTCCGCAAGTAGACAATGTCGGTCACGACTCGCTGGCGGTCAGCTGGAAGCCACCAATTTGGGACGGTGGCAGTAACATCACCAATTACGTGGTGGAGAAGCGTGAGCATCCGATGAGCAGCTGGATCCGTGCCGGAAACACTCGTTTCTGTACGCTTGCAGTAACCGGTCTTAGCCCCGGACACCAATATGATTTCCGGGTGTGCGCAGAGAACATTTATGGTCGTTCGGATCCGAGTGAAGTGACACCATTGATCACTACGAAGGGTGTGATCAAGCGCGAGTTCAAAAAGAAGGAATATGAGGTGGATGCGAGCGGCAAGAAAATACGTGGTCGCGAAGACGAGAAGCCGCGCGATTATGATCAGTTTGTGTTCGATGTGTATAGCAAGTACGTGCCGCAGCCAGTTGAAATCAAGCATACATCGGTCTACGACAAGTATGATATCCTGGAAGAGATCGGCACTGGCGCGTTCGGCGTGGTACATCGCTGTCGCGAGAGGACCACTGGTAACATCTTCGCTGCCAAATTTATCCCGGTGTCGCACATAATGGAGAAGGAATTAATCAGAAAAGAGATCGACATCATGAATCAGCTGCATCATCCTAAGCTGATCAACCTGCACGACGCCTTTGAAGATGATGACGAAATGGTGCTGATCTTCGAATTGTATGTATTCACTTAGAACAAAATAATCGTTTGTTGGATTATGATGGGTTTGTGTTATCCTTTATCTCGATTATTTGTTTCGTCAGCTTGTCCGGTGGCGAATTATTCGAGAGAATTACGGCCGAGGGTTATACCATGTCCGAGGCAGAAGTCATTAATTATATGAGGCAAATCTGTGAGGGTGTCAAGCATATGCACGAGAAGAACATCATCCATCTCGGTAGAACATAAATATTTTAACGACGATTTTTTCATGATACATATGGAATTTGTTATTTTCATTAATTAATTTTAATTTTAATTAATTTTTATTTTAATGTAAAGTCTATATTTTAAGTTTACATTCAAAAAGAAATATTTTTTAAACGACAATAAGTTCCACAAACAAATTACCATTTGTTTATGATTGATCACAGAATATAACATAAATTATTATGCGATATCTAGTCTTTGTAGTGATCATTTTTGTTCTAAATCGAGAAAGCTTCTTAAAAAAATATTATTAAATTCTTAATGCTATTTATATACATACTGCGAGCTAATTTATTAAATACTCCTATTATTTTAATATAATATTTGATTATTCCTAGATATCAAACCTGAGAACATCATGTGCCAAACTCGTAACAGCACGAATGTGAAATTGATCGATTTCGGTCTGGCTACTAAACTCGATCCAAACGAAGTAGTAAAGATCAGTACAGGCACAGCTGAATTTGCCGCCCCCGAGATTGTTGAACGTGAACCTGTTGGTTTTTACACTGATATGTGGGCATGTGGTGTATTAGCTTATGTTCTGTAAGTAGATTATTTTTATTATTTACATAACATACAAGCGAGGAAATATTTTGCGTTTCTCGAAAGATGTTCGATTTATTTTACTATGAATTCCAATTATGATAAAAATTTAGTTATAAATAATATATAGCAATAATAAATATTTAATTTTTTTAAAGGCAGTTATCGCTTAACTTTGCAATTATTAAAATTTTCTAATATTAAATAACTGATACACTTGTGCATATTTGTGTATTAATTAATATTTTATTAAAAAAAAAAAAAAAGAATAAACTCTATCGATTAGCATGCATCGTTTGCATAGATTGAGTGGTCTTTCACCATTCGCCGGTGATAACGACATCGAGACCTTGAAAAACGTGAAGGCATGCGACTGGGACTTTGACGAGGAGGCATTCCGCGACGTTTCCGAGGAGGGTAAAGATTTCATCAGGCGATTACTCGTAAAAAATAAAGAGTATGTTTTTTCATAGACTTTTTCCCTTTTCTTTCTGCTTCTCTCTGTTATTATTTCGTTTATATTACTGTATTTTATCCTTTAGAAAGCGCATGACTGCACACGAGTGTCTCCTTCATCCATGGTTGACCGGCGATCATAGCAAGTGGACCAATCCAATCGCCAATAGCCGTTACCTTAGCATTAGAGATAGGTTGCGTGCCAAGTATGAGAACTGGGACAAGTATGTTCTTCCCATCGGTCGTCTAGCAGAGTATTCATCGCTTAGGAAACTTTTAATCGAGAAATACAGAATTTATGATTCTTGCTTCGGTGAGTCAATGCATAAAAATCAATACATAATTATAATTTTCATGGAAGATATACTTGTAAAGATTTGCCTCAGAGAACACGAAGCAAATTAAACATGATCAGTTATTAACTCAAACACAATATATAGATGTATTATAAAATAAGTAAAATCTGGCTAATATGTGTTACTATTAAATTAATTATATTTTTACAGATCGGCGACAAGCAGCACCGAGATTCGTCATCAAACCGCAAAGCGCATTCGCCTATGAAGGACAGAGTGTGAAATTCACTTGTCGCGTAATCGCGATTGCGGCACCAACCTTATCTTGGTCGCATAATAATCAAGAGTTACGGCAATCTGTTAAATTTATGAAGCGATACCATGGGGACGATTACACTTTTATTATTAACAGAGTTAAGTTAGAAGATAGAGGAGAATACATTATACGCGCGGAAAATCATTATGGCTACCGTGAGGAAGTCGTCTTCCTTAATGTTCAACGTAAGTGTTTCTGTCATCAGAATTTTATATATTTTACGATTACGTAATTTTGGGAGGAACTTACGATTTGTAACATGGCTTGATATTTCTAACATCTTCAGAGAGCTAGAACTTCATTTATATTTAATTTAAATTTAAGGTTTCACAGTTTTTAAATATTTCGAAATAGATAATCTATTCATATTTGAGCTATCTAATTGGCATTAAATATTGATCAACGTTTTTTTTATCAGTTTTACACTTACAAAGTAAAGTAAAGCGTCGTAAAAAAAAAAAAACGCGCGTGTGGGTTGTGTGTATGTATGATCCTTTTATTTTTTCTTGCTCTTTCAGCACTGCCAAGAGAAATTCCGAAATACAGGCCCGAGCTGCATCCTGTACGCAGACGAGAGCCGCTTGGCTATAACGTGTGGTTAGAGACGATTGAATCGGCGCCGAGCTTCACGTTCCTGTTGCGACCACGTGTTATCCAAATCAGGCAGACTTGCAAGCTGCTGTGCTGTCTGAGCGGCAATCCACCGCCTACTGTAAAATGGTACAAGGACAGAGAGGAATTATCCAAGTACAATTACCCCATGAGCAACGCCGATGGTGTCGTCACAATGGAAATCGTTGACTGCAAACCGGAAGACAGCGGCAAATATCGTTGTGTGGCTAGCAATAAACATGGCAAAGATGAGACTAGTTGTGTAGTCATCGTAGAAGGTATGATATAAATAAGTGATTAAGTATCAAATAAAAAAGTATTGAAAAAATTGAAAAATGAGAGACTATTTCACGAAACTGGACAATATAATGATACCTAATAATTATTGCCAAAATAATTTGAGACCATTATCCTTATATATATATATATAAAAAACTAAAAAATATAAACTATACTTTGAAATTTTTTAAAAATTGATATTTATCATTGTAATCAAATTTTTTTATCGATATTGTAATCAAATTTAATGATCTATGAATAAAAACGATTCAGTTTTGTAATTTATATATTATATAAGGTATATATTTTGAGTATCCAAATTAATTTTGAATTAAGATTTATTTGCGTTTTTTGAACTTTTCAATTTATTTAATAAGGTCGATATTTTCTGTATAATTTATATTAAATTTACTAATAAAATAGATCTTATTGATTTTGTTTGTTTATAGGCACTGGAGAAACGGAGGAACAAGTGAAATTAGTGCACGACCTCCTACATTCCGGAGGTAGAGCTATTTAAGAGTGTATTCTGTTTGCTATCCTTTTCCTTTTTTTTTTATTAAAAACAATATTTCGTTAAATAATAGACATATCATATTTGTGTTTATACATATATAAATAATAGTTAAGCTTTTTCTTTAATATAAATATGTAAAATTTTATATAGCTGACTTTCATATTAGCTGAAATATTTCACAATCTTTTTATTTTATTTAATTAGATTTATTTCAAAGATATAATAATTCCTTTAAATTATATATCTACTTGTTTCTTTTTTACATTCTGCATACGTACTTTATGTTGAATTTTGCCTTTCTATTTATTTTTTAGCTTATTTAGTTTCTTTTATAGTTTGCTTTTGCAATGAAATAGAAATCATCTAAATTTTATGACAAAACATATATTATATATAATTATATTAAATGTATGTGATTCATAACAAGTGATTATATTCTAAGATCGAAAATTCATTGAGCAACCACTGAAACCGGCACCACCTCCAATCGTGACAATTCACAAGTCCAGTGGTTACAGCGGCTACAGTTCCACAACCACTCAAAATCAATCGAGCTCTACTTCTTTGTACAATGGCAAACATAATTCCACAACCTCTTCGTATAAGGTATTTTTCTTCACAATAAGATTATGATTAAAAATAAAATACTATTACTTATACGATACTTTTCATACAATTATAGGACAGCTCCAGTGTCAAAATAAATGAATCATCTGATAAACGAAGCATAAAGAAATACGGCTCGAAGCTCGACACCACTGGCAGTCCGTCTCGATCTAGGAGCACCACAAAAGAACTCGTCCGTAAGTGTATTGTTTTAATAGATCTCTAATATAAGAAAATTATAGACTATTTAATATAAAATTTCTTTAATCTTTAATGTAAATATTGAAGTACCCTCGGACGATTCGATGAGATCACCGCAATTTACTCAAAAGTTGAAGAACCTAACGATCAACGATGGCGAGCATTTGGAACTTACAGTCAAAATCGACGGCGATCCGGAACCACAAGTTACTTGGAGTAAAAACGGCAAGGTAGACGCATAAGCTTGAAAGTTACTTGTCACTATAAAAGTCTAACATGCACCTTTAAATAAGATTAATGTATAGTATTGTCGTGAAATTTAATGAGTAAAGTACGAAAAGGATGGTAATAATTATTTTCAGAAAATGCACTAAAATTACGTGTGAAAAATATATTTCTATTAGCGCGATATTATTACGAGTGTGATAAAATTTTCTTATAGACGCTGAGTTCGTCAGAGATTGTCGATCTCAAATATAAGAACGGGGTGGCCACTCTCATGATTAATGAGGTATTCCCCGAGGACGAAGGCGAATACGCGTGTCTCGCAACTAATAGCATCGGCAGCGACACGACATCCTGCAAGCTGACTGTAAAACGTAAGAGTATCCATAATTTATCAACTGATCTGTAAAACGCAAGAGTATCCATAATTTATCAACTGATCTGAAAATATAAACTTATACAAATATAACACAATCTGAAAATATTAATTTATTATACAAATATAGTTTATTAAATTTGTTTATATGAAGATTTAATTTTGTTGTTTATTTTGATTTTTATTATCTGATTTTATTATCTTATTTTTATTTACATTATATTTTTTATATAGTAGAAGATAATTATGAAAGATAGGTCGCTTAAGTTTAACTTCTCTTTCTAGCCGTGGAGAATGCCGCTAGGAAGAAGCAGAGCGACGATAAATCGCCGAAAATCGTCGACCACCTAACGAGCAAGTACGTAAAAGACGGCGAGGCTGTGACACTTAGCTGCCGAATAATCGGCGCGAAGAAGTTTGATGTAGTGTGGCTGCACAATAATAAAGAGATCAAGCCTAGTAAGGACTTCCAATACACTAGCGAGGCTAACATTTACAAGCTAATCATCGCCGAGATATTCCCCGAGGACTCTGGCACTTACACGTGCGAAGCTTTCAACGACGCAGGAGAGAGCTACTCGTCGTGCACGTTAAGCGTACTCGGTAAAATATCGTTAATGATTATCAATCGATTTAATTAAAAAATCTGCATTCGACGAACTGCATTTTAATTTTTATCCCCCCCTTTCTACATTTTTTTCAGCTCCAAATGAAGAGCCGAAAAGCCCAGCGTTCGCGACATTCCCACAATCTGCAACAGTGAGTGAAGGCGAGTCGGTTACTTTCACGTGCAAGACTGATACCGCGCCTTTGAAAGGTACTTAATTTTTATAACAGTATTTTAAGTAAATATATATACATAATTATATATGTATATTATATAATAGAGTAAGAATTGTAATAGTAATTCAGTAATTAAAGTGATTTTTTATAATTTCCTCTGTTTTTCTATTCTATATACACGTTAAGCAGTCAAATTGTTACTAATAATGTTATAAATTTTTCAGTGACTTGGTTGAAAGATGGTAAAGCGATCCCCGAGACGAGCAGCAGATACCATTTCAGCTCGGACGGCAGCACGTCCTTCGAATTCGGCATCAAAACGTGCACGGCCAGCGATATTGGTCAATATTTGGCGCGTGCGATCGGCCAGAAAGGCGAGACGAACTCTGCGTTTGCCCTTAACGTCGTCAATCCCGGCGAGCTGTGAAATCAATCATGATACCGGGTTATACGTCGATTATTTATCAGCGCGGTCGACGACCGAATGAGAGTATCAGAGATACATTTTCTTCGTGGAGAATATATTTCTAGATTTATTTCGTGGATATTAAAGAGTACATAAATAACTTGATGAATCTATTTATCCAAATATATTCTCCAAAAAGAATGTATCTCATCCACTCTTACACGTGTTCGACTCGTGAGTGCCGTAACGATCTTTGACCGATTGTTACTGTATCTTTCACACTCTGATCTTTCTGCTTTCGCTAAATTTAATTGGAATGCACGCGATATGATCGAATAGTCAAGTCGGAGAGGCTCGGTTATAATAATGAACATTTTTAGAATACATGATGTCTATACAGAAAGGAAGAGAAAAATGAAAGACTAATATTAATCTCTCTTTGTTTCTCTCCATTACGTTCTGTATGTAAATTATTTTGGAACACTGCGTATTTTTTTTTCCTGTATGTTTGTTATAATGTCGCATTATCCGCGGAAATTGTCGGGACGCGGTTCGTTGCCATGACGAGAATCTGAATTCGCCGTCTTCGCACACAAACATTACGAATAGCACGCGCAACTTACTATACTAAAATATTCGGCTTTGCTGTATTATACGACTCGGCACACACTCGAGTACACGCAGCTACTTAACAGGCACATCGCGGTAGTGTTCGAAAAAAGAAAAAAGGAATATCATATATAGGACATCGACGCCCGTGAACGTGATTTTCTCGGTGAGATTGCCAGCATCCTCAAACATCCGAATATACATTTTTAATATCACCATCCAAGAATCTCGCCAGGAAAATCCTTCGATGGCGTTAGAATGAGTACGTAAAATATTTTTACTCAATAATCGCGATGTGCCCACTTATTCCATGTTAATGGTACGCACCATCGTGTTTTACTTGTTTGAAGACTGCTTCCGTCAGAAAATTTACGATAAAATGAAACATAATTAAAAATGAGCTTGTTACAATAGTTATTACACCCTCCTATCCTACTGATATAGAAATTACCAGTGTAATTTTTATTAATTCTTTTTTTATGCTCGTCTTCGAGTTTCCATTTGTGTCAGATATATTAATAATAAAAAGAATATATTTTATGTTTATTTGATAATGAAAATAATGAGGATAAATCTTGAGGAAGGTATAAAAAGAATGTCCCAAATTAATTAATACATTTGAATTTCTTTGAGACCATGTAAAATATTAAAATCCAGTTTTAATGAGGTTATCAAAGAAAACATACTTTGATAAAAAAAATTTGACTTTTAGTGAAGACGTCAAAATGAGGTGGAGATCACATTAATTTTTTAAATGGAACTATATTATTTTTTTAAATATATCCATAAAATGCAGAATTTCAGTATTTTAAATGATTTTAGAGATACGTTGGTTGAAATAAAATTTTCTGTATATATTTAACATAATTTTAGTGTAAAAATCATATAATGAAATGTTGGATAATTCAATGCTAAAGTAGTCGTTTGTCCAGAGCAAAAGACTTCTAAGTTCGATGTCCGGAATTATCATCTCGCGTACGTATATATATTAATATACAAATTTTTTAATAGAAAAATATTTGATTTTGAAAAAACTAAGTACCCAAGTGGGAACAGAATACCATAAACCAGCATTGACTCCTGGCAACGTACCGATTGTGTACTGAAAAACGGATTTCGTTTTTCAGTACTAGTTCTATATTGGGCCAGTATTAAATAAACAACATTATGGTACTCTTCCAGCGTGTGAATCGGTATTGAATAATAATACCGAGCTAGTATATTATTAGTAGATTTTCGGTATGATATCTGAACAGAAATTAATAAAGAAATGTCTTTACATATCAGTACAGGAACAGTATATTGCCGATATATCATCGATATCATATTCGTACTAAAATTGACAGAAGAAGTATGTCAAGCGACAATACCGAACCAGTACATTGCTGGTAGATTTTCAGTACCGCATATATATTGAAATCGTCAAAAGTAACTTATCGGGTATCAGCATTGAAACGGTACATTGCCAACGGATTATCTGTGCCATATTTGTATAGAAATTGGCAAAAGGAACATGTCAAGCCACTGTACCGAACCAGTACATTGCCGGTAGATTTTCAGTACCGCATCTATATTGAAATTGTCAAAAGTAACGTATCGGGTGTCAGCATTGAAACGGTAAATTGCCAGCGGATTATCTGTGCCATATTTGTATAGAAATTGGTGAATTGAACTCGTCCTTTGTCTCCTAGTAACCAAAATTTTATTAAACGAACTATAATCTCTGAATTACATGTATAAAAGTCAATGATTTTCCCGTTTCGATAATCAGGTAAATTTTTTTAAATAATATATAATAATTAAGGTGCTCATTATTGTATTATATATTATTAATAATTATTTTAAATTATATTGAATAATTTTATTTTTAATCATGATTTTTTTTCAATTATTTTTACAGTTAACCTAAAACATCTCATGCTTTTGACTGTGAAAAACGTATCTGTTAGGATTGATTTATATTTGCTGTGATAAATTTATTTTAATATAAGAGAAGTAGTACGGATTTTTTATACAATACTAGTACTGTGTGTGTTATAATATTATTAATACAGAATCAGTACTGGTACTTATTGTGAGAAGTCAGCATCCCTAAATGTGAATTTTGATAAAATCATTATTGCATTCGTTTGTCCACTGTTTGTCCACGTTTGTTCACCCATTATTTTTGTTTGTCCATCCTATTATTATTATATTTTTCATAATAATGAAAAATAATCACTTGGGGATACTACAACATTTTTTTGTGTATAACTTTTTTTTAGAGGGTGGACAAATGAAAATAACGGGTGGACAAACGTGGACAAATAGTGGACAAACGAATGCAATAATGATTTTATCAAAATTCGCATTTAGGGGTGCCGACTTCTCATCAGAGCTGCTCTGAGAAGTCAGCATCCCTAAATGTGAATTTTGATAAAATCATTATTGCATTCGTTTGTCCACTGTTTGTCCACGTTTGTCCACCCTTTATTTTCGTTTGACCACCCTATTATTATTATATTTTTCATAATAATGAAAAATAATCACTTGGGGGTACTACAATTTTTTTTGTGTATAACTTTTTTTTGGGGTGTGGACAAATGAAAATAACGGGTGGACAAACGAATGCAATAATGATTTTATCAAAATTCGCATTTAGGGGTGCCGACTTCTCAGAGCTGCAAATGCGGGAGTAAAACTATCATTTTACGCGCCCTAGTACGAAAACACTATTTTTTGAAAGAGAAAACAGTTACGCAGATTCAAGCAGAGTTGCAGGAGGTTCGTGTGGCACGTTTACTCCTTCATTACCAACCATTAGTTTTTTTAATATCTCTTAAAAAACCTTTTTTTAAAAAGAGAAAAAAACATGCGCCAAGTGCATAAAAAAGATATTGAATTTCTTGATCAAAAACAGATATGAGATAAATATAATTGACCAAGTATTCTTCATTACGCCAGTCACATAAGACAGACCGAAAGTAACTATAATTGTCAACTGGATTATATAAGTGAAGAAAAAACTTGGCGTGCCCGGGTCGCATTAATTGTAAACAGTATTCAGTGAAAACATTATTTCAACATAGTATTTGCATTATAAGTTAAAATATAAAAATAACAGACATATGTATACAGATATAATATATACGTATAATATAGTGATATAATTTGTGGGATATGAAAATATATTCACAAATAATAGATGTGATGGAGAAATAAGATTTAGATATATTTTAGAAACATTATAAATAACAACTTTTTATGTTCAGTAAGCAATTATTAATATCTTTTCTTTGTTGAATTATTGTTTTCGCATATATTGTGTATACTGCAAAATATTGCGATAGAACCAAGGTTCTAGAATATTGCGTTTTAATGCGACCCGGGCACGCCAAGTTTTTTCTTCACTATAATCCAGTTGACAATTATAGTCACTTTTGGTCTGTCTTATGTGACTGGCGTAATGAAGAATACTTGGTCAATTATATTTATCTCATATCTGTTTTTGATCAAGAAGTTCAATATCTTTTTTATCCACTTGGCGTATGCTTTTTCTTTTTTTAAAAAAAGGTTTTTTAAGAGTTTTAATACTATATATTACAATATCATAGTTAAAACCATTGATGTATATATGTATATTGTGTTTTATAAATACTATTTCGTTTGTATACAATGTAAAAAATATATTCAATTTTTTCTTTTAATAAATTTGAAAAAAATGTATAACTATTTCTTTTCCAGTTTGATATTTAAATTGATAAATAAAATAAAAAAAAAAGATGATTTTTTATATAATATAAAATTCACTGCTGTACTACAAAATCTATTGTAAAGTCTTGTGTTCACGATGGTAGAAATCGATCTGAGCTATAGATTTCGGATGAAGAAAGAATTAACAAATCACATTTGAACAATTTGGTTACATACGCATTTGGATTAATGTGATTGGGCAATCCTTTCTTCATTCCAATTCTCAAACCAATTTTTAGCATTATGGCTTTATACCACGTTTTTTGAAAAAATACAAAAGACATTACAATATTATGGATGATCAGTCACATATCGAAGTGTTTGACAATTAAAGTCGGATCAAACAGACAAGCACTATTGATATATGTATAGATATGTATAAGGAGGAGAACAAGAACGTAACTAACGAAGCAACAAATAACAGACCTAATATATAGTATGTGAATATTTTATTATTCATTTATTATTTCTGTGTCACACGCAGAATTAATTATAGATATCCTTACGACAGCCGTATTGCTCATTCCGTTCACCATTTCGTATTTTTTAATATTAATTTATATAGTATGTACACGGATGGCGTGAAACTGTCGTTGTATTTTCTTTAAAATTACGACAAGCTTGAAGAGGAAGAAACATGTAATGCGTACAATGAGAAATGCTTAAGCTATTATATTAATGGACAACGTCTGATTTTTGGAAATTCGAAGTTATCATCAAATGTTTATTTTTATAATTATCTTGTTTAGAATAAATAAGTTATTGCCAGTTAATTAACAACTAGTCAACAGATTTTTCAGTGAAACGTAGAATCGATTATACGTTTAGTCAAAATCTTGTGAGTAATTATTGTAGATTAGTATATCAACGCAAGAAAAGCTATGATTTTGGAATAAAATCGAGAGCAAACATTGATCACAATCGTGGGAGATCATATTTGAGGAGCTGAGCGAGGACAATATAATTAAAATACACGTATGTAATGAATAGGATAAGATCACTGCAATAAGGAAAACTACGCTTCGAAGCAAGAAAGATTTGCAGAAAGGTTTGACAAAACCTTTTAATTTAACAAAATAGTACACAAATAAAGCTTATAAAAATTATCTTTTTCAGATTCCATTTTATAACAAGCTCCAAAATAATTGATAAACGATAAAATTACATAGATTAATGTTGAAAAGAAGAATTATGGTGCGAAGTATAATCCCATCTTGCTTCACATATATATCGCAAATTGCGATTTACCAGCATTAGCCTCAATGATATTACCGAGGATCACGATTTGTACTGATTGTAAAGATTAAATTACCGCAGCTAAGTATACTCTTTGACGAGCGAGATGGTTGAATGAAGTAATAACCTCCTCTCCATCACCCAGCTCCGCGTGCATACATACGAGAATAGTCTAGGTGCAGCACTTTAGCTCTAAAAGAAAGAATCGACGGTTTCCTGCACAAGGTACCGCTTACAGGGCACAACTCATATCTCATTGACATGTTGATGAATGTTATACGCCCGTCCGCCTCTCCTGGACTCTTTTGGTACCACGATCCGGTGTTGCGGCACCACAGCTTCCGCTTCTAGTTTTTTCTTGGCCTCCTCGGTTGCGTTTCTGTCAGCCATTAGGTCGCTCGGTCTAGAGTAAACAAATGTGGTCTCCGC